CCTTTTCGACGTTGGACTCCCCTTGCGTCTCGCCTCCTCCAGGTATCACGTCGACTTCAGATGAAACTTCATTCTTGCTGCACTCGGGCAGCTATTCTCGATCCCCTGCGTCCGCGTGGACCCTTAGCATGGCTCCTGATCCCTCTGTTCTCTGGCACATGTCTGCCGTGCCGCCTCCATGACCGGCGTAGACCTGCCTGTGCAGCTCTACACGCCGCCTCTTGGGCTCCTCAAACTCTCCGCCCAATCCCGACTGAGGCTTCTCTCTCGCTTCCTCTTTCTTGGCCTTTTCCATCGGTTGCCGAGCAGGTGCTATCTTTTCCTGACCTGGGAGGCCTTACTTCGGTTCCCTCTTGGTATCCTTTCCGCTGGTTGCGGAGCAGGCTCTTCCGCTTCCTGACACGTGAGACCCTCTTTCGGCTTTTCCCTTGTTTCAGATTCCGTGATCGGTGTCGTAACCGTCTCTAGGGCCAGTTCCACCTTGCCGCAGCGTATGGTAGTGCCCATTGCACCCAAGAAATCCATTCCCAGGATAACGTAGTCTAACATCGAGGGCATGATGACCATCAACATGCTAATCACCTTCCCCGCTAGGCCGACGTCCCACCACAATGTACGCAGTCTTCACTCATGAAGCCACCTTCCACCTTCAGTGGGTGTCCTATTATCGGGTCCCTTGTGTATCGGCGCCGACCCGCTCCTGGCCGGGGCTCCTGGTGGTGGTCATGTCGCCCAGATCTACGCCATCCGCCAGGCAATTTCCAAGGCCCTAGTTGCGTTCTATCAGAAATACGTCGATGAGGCATCCAAGAAGGAGATCAAAGACTTTCTGGTCCAGTAAGACAGAACCCTGCTGGTTGGCGACCCACGTCGCTGCGAGCCCAAGAAGTTCGGTGGTCCCGGTGCCCGTGCTCGTTACCAGAAGTCGTACCATTAAGCTTTCTGCTGATTTTCAATTTGGATTAGATATTTTGTTCAACTTGAAAACATTTGCGCGTTTCCTCTTCAATGTTAGAAGCATGTGAATAAACGGAATAATTAACTTATAAATCCTGGCTACTCCTACCTCGGTTCCCGCATACCCAGCAGAACAAGACGGGTGGGTTGGGACATTCCCTGACAAAGTGCCCCTCCTGTGCGCACCTACGACACGCTCGCCGCGGATCATACCCATTTCCGGCCTCTTGGCTCATCATCTGATGGGCAACTTCCTCAGGGGCCGTGGCTGGCGGGGTGGAGACCCGTTTATCCACACCGGCCGCTCCGGATCCGATGGGAGTAGACCGAAATGGGTTAAGGTGTCGCTCCGGGGGCTGTGCTACTCGAACTCGTGGCTACTTGACTCCCTGATCTATTTCCTGAGTATTCTACCCTCTGCCTTATGACTGTCTCATACTCCACAGCCAGCTGGGTCAGCTGGGACAGGGTGGAGAAATCTTGACGTCGCAGAAAATCTCATTGTCCTGGGCATACGATCGAGGGCAATGCCATATGTGATGGCCCGCTCCTCTAGGTCCTCCAAGAACCCAAGGGGGTCGGAGCGGCCATCATACCTCATGCCCCACTTCCTAACTTGTTCCGGGACGTTTACGTGCGGCCTGCCATCCGACTGAGTATTTGGCAGGATGGGGAACACAACTCGGCGACACAATCTCCGCGTCGATCGCTGTTGTTCGGCGGGTGCTCTCTCTTCTAACTTCATGAGCGTCCGCTACACCCGTGACGGCTAAGCTAGGAGTCGGAAGCTCGTACAGTTGTGAGCTCCTCAGATCGGGCTCCGATTTCTGACGTGGCCGTCCGCCAACGTCGGATAAGACGCCCCAGGATGGCGGCTCCAACGTTTTGGCATACTGAGACTCTAACTCGGCAGGCCGAGCCCAAATTTCGACGCCGTCGTCGACTGCGCCTCGCGTTTGTGCACACGAGTGCAAGCGTGGTCTCGATGTCGCCCGGCTGGCGCGCGCGCTGTACCTTTTTGGCCGCCCGTTATCTTTCCGTTGTCTGCCTTTTGTGCTCGATTTGCACATATTTTGTCGCCTAAATCTTGCAGGTGCTCATTTTATTGTCCGACACCGGGTATGAAAATGCCCTTGTTAGGGTATGCCTGACTACCTAATACCCTAGATTTGCAATTTCACCCATGTGTGACGCCTTATTTTTCCCTACTCCTCTGCTAGGGTACATACTCTCTAGGATATGCCCGACTAAAAATACCCTACATGCAACTTCCCTATTTTTTTTTGAAAACACCTATTTGGGCATACTTGCGGGGCTTTAATCCGCAAACATGATACGCCCCCCTAAACGCCTCCTAGGTCCCTGCTCGGGCGCCACTTGTAAGGAAGCTACTGGCCGGGGTACAATTCTCAGTCTTACCAGGACCAGCATTCTACGAGACATTTGTTAGTATGCTGGGATGGAGGGTCTAGAAGGGGGAGGAGGTGCTTCAAACAAACTATGACTCCTACTACTTTCATAGGATAGGGAAGGAGATGCATACACACGTCCGGGATTTCTCACGCGGTCAGCAGACTAAGCCTCAACTCACACACACACACGACCGGGATTGCTCACGCGATCGGCGGGCTAAGCCCTGATTCACACATGCACGGCCGGGTTGGTTATGAGAAGAGGTTATGCTGAATACTGGTTAACTTCGGGGTCCGAAGTTAGTATTAATCGAAAACAAACGAATTAACCGACTTTCCTTGCTAATTTCATTTTTTCATATTCACTAATTGTTTACTATCTTACACAATTTCCCTAAGTTAAAGCCCTGTCGCACTGTTCGGAGCCCTAGCGCTCCGCTGCGCACACTTTCGCCTCTGCCTTCTGTTCCACACCTCCACTTACTTTAATGCTCGCTCAAAAGTGCCGGCACGCTAGCAAGCGAGCCATGTGCTTGCCTCGTCCGCTCAACTTCGCCGTGTGCTTTCGCAACTTCGCCTCGGAACTTTCGCTCTTCGCCGACGAATTGAAGCTGCGCTCTCGAGACGGTGTTGAGTAACCGATCGGCAACGCACAGTTGCTCCGGCGGCCGGCGGTTAAATTTAAACTTATATTATTAGCTATGCCCTTAACTATGCACTTGTTCTGTTAATACGCATGATATAAACTTAACGGCTCCTTGCCTTTAGTTTGATTCTCTCTTATTCTAATAATTCTTACAATTAACAAAGCCTATAAAACTGCTGGCTCCTTGCCTCTTACTTAACTAAGATCTTATTTTAATACTTATAAACTAACAAAATAGATTCGATTATGACAACATAACGGCTCCTTTCCGTGAATCCAGAACTGTGGGGTGGCTGACTCAAATAACCGCCTCACAAATTATAATATTTATTTGTTAGTTCTCACAATATTAATTGAAAAATAATATACAATTTTTAACAGCTACGTTTATTCTTAATAATCTCTATAAATAAAACTGTTTGTTCTGACTGACTGACTGACTGATTGACTGACTGACTGACTGACTGACTGACTGACTGATTGGTGATCAACGCACAGCCCAAACCGTAAGAGCTAGGAAGCTGAAATTTTCACTGTAGTTACCTTATGTGATGAAGGTGCACGTTAAGACGGGGTTTTGGGAAATTCCACCCGCAAGTGTGGAAAAATCGCGAAAAACGTTTGTATGTAACTTTTTTGTTTACCATCCGATCAGCCCCAAACTTATTCTCAAAGATCTTTGTTCAAATTCATTTGAGGGGTGTTTCGCACTTTTCGGAAAACCCACTCCCTCCTTGGTGGAAATGGAGGTCAAAGATTTGGTGGGTGACGTTTCGCGCTCAAATTCATTTCCAGAGATCTATTAGAAAAATCATTTGAGACGTGTTTCTCACTTTTCGCAGAATTCAAACTTCTTCGGGGAGAATGCGATTTAAAGATTTTTTGGGCGGCGTTTTAAATTGTGTCCGATTTGCTTCAAACTTATTTTTAAAGCTCTTTATAAGAACTTAATAAGTACGTATTTCAGCGATTTGGAAAATTCCACCCGCAACAGTGGTAAATTGGCGGAAAAAGGTTGTATGAACGTTTTTTGTTTACCATCCGATCGGTCCCAAATTCATATTTAAAGATCTATGTTTAAATTCATTTAAGGGGTGTTTCACACTTTTTGAAAAATCCATTCCTCCTTGGTGGAAATGGAGGTCAAAGATTTGGTGGGTGACGTTTCGCACTCAAATTCATTTCCAGAGATCTATTAGAAAAATCATTTGAGACGTTTTTCACACTTTTCGCAGAATTCAAACTTCTTCGTGGGGAATGCGATTTAAAGATTTTTTGTGCGAAGTTTTAAGTTGAGTCCGATTTGCTTCAAACTTATTTTAAAAGCTCTCAATAAGAACTTAATGAATACGTATTTCGACGATTTGGAAAATTCCACCCGCAACAGTGGTAAATTGGCGGAAAACGGTTGTATGAAAGTTTTTTGTTTACCATCCGATCGGCCCCAAACTAATTTTCAAAGATCTATATTCAAATTCATTTGTTTGTTTTGAGTTACCTGATTTGATTTTATTTGATTTTATAACATACGTGCCACGGGCAAGGCCGGGTTATACCCGCTAGTCTTTTTATAAATAGTACCTTCCTTTTTATTGCGTTTTAATACCCTGAACCCATTGAAATTGGGTAAAACGGGTATAATGTACTTGTGCAAATGTATGTTATGTCGGGAGCTCCCGACTCGAACCTCTTACTTGTTACTTACACAAACGAGCGCGTAGCTCGAGCTGCATTTGGTGTTGGAAGAAGAGGGTTCAGGGTATCCTCTAGTTGGGAGCTCCCGACTAGAACCTCTTACTTTTTTTATTTTGTTTTTGTATTCATATTTTTAACACAATTTAAATATAAGTATTAATGTTTAATATATTATTTTAACATAAATATAATACAATAGTAACGAAATTTGTTATTTAATAAAGTTTATTAGGTTTTTAGGGAAAATTGTAAGCTATTCCAAATTGTTCTGTTTGCTTTCTTTTGAACAGAGTACCCTGCCTCTTAAAAGAAGGATGCGCCAAAGGATAAAACCGCAAATGACGATCTATCTAAAAACAAAACAAGTATTCTAATTTAAGAAAATGAGAATGTACCCGGACAGATAAAACGAAATGCCGCCTTATGGCGAGTTTGGTCCGCGAAGGACCGATTCTATGTGTTTCAATACGAGTGGATTAATTCCAATGATCCGTCAAATCGCTGTGATAGAGATGGCCCAAGCAGGGTATGCTCAGACCATGGACCAACCAATTGATTGCCTGCGAAGATTGTGATTGATTTCCATTTGTCAAGGAAAAAAAACAAGCCAGCGATGCTTTTGTATTAAATAAATTGGTCACTTTGACAGCTACTGACGGGTGTTTTGTGGGTATGTGGGTGTGCGTGTGTGTGTCCTGACAGCCTGTACTGAATTATATTCCTATTTCGACTTCGCTGCCGGGAATGTACATTGAATTTAATTAATTCTGATAATTGTTGTAACAAATAAGCACGCAATATATACACTTACACACAGTGACTGGTATGCGCTCACACACATTGTATTGCAAATAATTTCACCGCACTTTTACCTCCAAAAGTACTATATGCTATGATAATATTATTTGTTGGCAGCCAAAGTGGACAATGACAGTTGTAGAATTTCTCGATTTGGAGGTGTGTCGCTCTTCGCCTGCTGTCTGTGTGTCTGCGGGAACAGTAAGCGAGCGGCTTGTATAGCTGTTCTTCCATTGCATTTATTTTATGTTTATACACATATATATAAATTGTGATCCTAAGGATTATTTATTGCTAATTATATTAAAAGCGATGTTATTGCATTCAAGTTCTTTCTTGTACCCTGCTCTAATTGAATTATAAAATTCATAAATTTTTTTTAATAAATACGACGAGTTTGAGTCAATATATTGTCTAGCCAAAAAGAATACATTAGCTATTTATAGCTTTACTCTTTTCCTTTCATTCAATGAATATTTGCAGACTAGTTTTACTTAGCATCTCACAGAGAATTTGAATTTGCATTATATTTCTTAGTCGGGAATTTTCGCGTAGAGTTCTCTTATTTAGTTTTCGTATTTTGTCATGCATTGTGGTCGCACTATTTATATGTGACATGTGTCTTTTTATACCCTGAACCCATTAAAAGTAGGTAAAAAGGCTATAATGTATTTGTACAAATGTATGTAACAGGCAGAAGAAAGCACCTCCGACCGCATAAAGTATATATATTCTTGATCAGCATCAACAGCCGAGTCGATCTAGCCATGTTCGTCCGTCTGTCTGTCCGTATGTATGAACGCAAGGATCTCAGTACATATAAGAGCTGGAGACTTGAAATTTTGGCTGTAGGTCCTCCTAGTGCCCGCGCAGATCGAGTTTGATTCCAATATTCGATAACTTACCCCGTTTCCAAGTGATCGATAAGAATCGATATCGAAATCCTGTTTTATGAGCAATTTCGGCAATTATATGAGCTGGAGTCACCAAACTTGACATGTAGCTTCTAGGATAGTATATATGTATCAAGTATCTTACATTTTATACCTATCACCTGTCGGAAGAAGAGGGTTCAAGGTATCTCCTAGTCTGGAGCTCCCGACTAGAACCTCTTACTTGTTAACTATTTATTTGATTGAATTAAATGGATTTTTTACATTGCTCACTAATTTGTGTAATTGCCCGATGAAGGGAATTTGTTACAAAAATAATATTTATTTATATTTGAATTTATGATTTTCAGAAGCTGGCTTTATTTGGCTACATATCATTTATAAACAGCTGTTCAGATTTCAGTAACTGACGTATTTATTTCTGATAAAATCTTGTTTGCAGTTTGGCTAATGTGTGAAGCTTTTATAGTGTTTTTAGCATTTCGCGTGTCTCCTTCGTTTCTTTTAAGAAAATGCTTGAGCTTTATATGTTGGCCATTATTTCTAACGATTTCCAATATAAATGCATATAACTTCCACAAATAGATGAGCTGAACTGGCTGAGGTGGGTGGTATGCGATGTGCGGAAATCAGGACGAAGTTCATGGCAGCAACAAATACGACGGTTTTTCGTTGTACGATTTAGCTTAAACATGCAAGGGCATTTATTTTGTGCCGTCCACATTGTTTTCGGTGATGCGTCTTGCAGCAGAACTTGCACAAATTGCTAAAACTTTGTTACAATTTATAGCTGCAATGCAGTGGTTGAAACTGGAGACGATTTCGAGGCACGTTCCCCTCCGTAACTCATACCAAAACCAAGACTTAAAAGTTGATGAAACGGTTCTCACCGCAGCGGTAAACAAAGCAAGCGACCAGAGTAATATTTGCCAGCCAGGTGCTTGCTGCAAGCATATACTAAGCTGAAGCCCAGAGCCAGAGCCAGGGGTATAGCCAGAGTCAGAACCACAACCAAAAACAGGAACCATAGTCCTAGTCGAAGTGGTTGCTGTCCTCTTTTTTGTTGTTGTTGTTTTTTGTCATGAAACCAAGTTCTTCAATTGCCAGAGGAGAGCCCATCTAAAAAAAAGTCAAGCCGTGCAATAATCCAGGTAACAAGTGAAAAAGCTGCGGTTGATCGACTTCGAGATCAATCAGGTTTAAAAATTTAATTGAAAAGAGGGAACAGAAACTCCTTTGTTTTTCAAGATATCTTGCCAAACTCGCCATTTATATGTTTCACTATGTTCCCTACGTATATGTAAAATGTTATTTACATCGGACTACAACATCATATAGCTTCCATAGGAACGGTCGATTAAGTTGCTGTATGGAAAACTTTTTTGTTTTTCAAGATATCTTAACCATACTCGGCATTAATTATTTTCCCTGTGCTTCTTAGATACATGCAAACCATTATGAGCAATATGAAAAGGTTGGGTCTGCAAGGGTATTAAATCTACGACGTGCCCTTCTTTGCAATGCGGTGAGAAAAGGTGTATGTCTAATGACTATTTGCTAATAAGTACTTTGGATGTGAAATGTCTATAGGATGTTCGATTTTGGTTTGGCGATTAAATGCAACTGTTCGATAGCTTCGCTGGAAATGGGTACACACTTACAAAATACAGTCACCACACACACTCACACACACTGCAAATAGAATAGATCATATGCATGCACACACTTTGACAAGGCCATTCAATACAATTTCCACAAACCAAAAATGATTTTTGAATGCATAAACCTAGTCAATTTGTACTGCAAATTGATTTGTTAAACACACACTCTCACATACACCTATCTGTATGCTGGTTATCGGTTGAGGCATTTGCCATGAATATGATAAAGCGCCGCTTTGTAAATCCTCCTCCCCAGCATGGGAGCCTTCCAGTGTTTATAGAGGCTGCTTTGCCATCTCCAAACGAATCTGCTTTTTTATCAGCTGCTTCCTAAAAATAGCTTGACTAATCAGATCTCCCTCTCTCATATGGTTCTTGTTTGATTACTGCTTGGAAGCCAGTTCTTCGTTTATTGCACAGCATTTGAAAGCCTTCTTACTTTTTTTGTTCTTTGGGAAGTAGTAAAGGCTAAAATTACTGGACAGCATGCCATTTATTATTGAAGCGTGTGCAAGTGAAGTTCATATACGTTTTAATTGCAAATAATATACTCATAAGACAACATAGTATCTGGACCTAATAATCTAATTGTGAATCGGGTTGTTCGTTAAACAAAAGTGTTGCGACCTAGAACCACAGTTTTCGTGCCTGCTCTGTTGGCCAGGGCAGTGACTTACGTCAGTAGCCACAGAGCATCGTGAATATTTAGACGTGCTAGTCGGCGCTACCAGTGGACATCGGACCAGACAAGGGAAACACCAAGAGCACGGTTCGCACTTAGCAACCCAATAGGACCAATTTTGTTACTTTGTAGCTTTTGGCCTCGGTCTTGAGAAGAATAACATCTGCCATTGCCTCGGAAAACGGCGTCAAGCGGGGGAATCCCTTGGTACTTGTGCAGCACCACCGGGGGTCCCATGCAAATTTCCATATAATTCAACTACTTATTTGACTTTGCCAATATTGACGGCAAAGAGCTCTTTAGTTTTTTTTATACCCTGAACCCATTCAAAATGGGCAAAAGGCAGAAGCAAGCATCTCCGACCCAATAAAGTATATATATTCGTGATCAGCATCAATAGCCGAGTCGATCTAATAGTGTCCATTTGTCGGTCCGTCTGCCCTTTCGTACGCAAGGATCTCAGAGCCTATAAGAGCTAGAGACTTGAAATTTTGGCTGTAGGTCCTCCTAGTCCCCGCGCATATCGAGTTTGTTTCCGATATTCGATAACTTGCCCCGTTTCCAAGTAATCGATAAATATCGAAATTCTGTTTTTTGCGCAATTTTGATAAATAATAAGTGCTAGAGTCACCAAACTTGACATGTAGCTTCCAGAATAGTATATATATAAAGTATCTTTCATTTTATAGCTATCGCCACCTCCCCGCTACCACCAACTCAACCTCCGCCGCCCCTACTCAACAAGCCACCAAGCTTGACATGTAGCTTCTAGAATAGTTTATATATATCAAAAATCTTTCATTTTTAAGCTATCAGTTAAGAAACACAATTATTAAAGAAAACGTGTTTAGACTTTTCTTGTATCAGCGGCAGCAAGTACCAATTCCACGAATTTCTGTATACATGTACACACTCACATTCATGCGCGTCTGCTTTGAATATTATCAACAGCCTTGCAATTGCGATTGTATTGTTTTCTGTACTGCCATTTAAACTCATTTTACTCATTCAGTTTTAATTATTGTCATAAAACATGTAAAGGGGTCTAGTCGGGGGTTCCCTGGACCCTTTTCTACCAACACCAAGTTATATATTTTCGGAATCTTGGGCTGGGTCACCTGGCGGACGTAAGTAAGTACGTAAGTTCGAAATTTCAAGTCTCTAGCTCTTACAGGTTCAGAGATCGTTGCGTTTATACATACAGCCGGACGGACAGACGTACTTGGCTAAATCGCCGCGGCTATTGATGCTGATCAAGAATGAATATACTTTATGCGGTCGATGAAACTTCCTTCTCCTTTAAACATACATTTACACAAATATATTCTATCCCAACATCAGCTGTGTGAATGACATTTGCACAAATACGGTTCCCAATTAGAATCTATCACCCACTTGCACATATATGCCACGATTTTTTATTTTTATTTTTTCTGCCAAGGCAAAAGAACTCGTAGCGCGTATCCCCTAGTCGGAAACACCCGACTAGCGCCTTGTTTGTTTTCAATTGTATTCAATCGGACAGATAGCAACAAAAACAATGTCTCTTGTTCATTTTGGGAAGGAGTATACCTTAAAAGAAACAATTTTTTTAACTTCTACCTGTAAACTGCTGTCG